ATTATGTAATAATTTATTTTTTTAAACAACTCTATAATATTTTTTAAAATTACTAAAATAGATTTAAAACTTTTGATTTGATCAATGTTATTAATTAATAATTTTTTATTTTTATTGGTTTATTTTTTTCTTTAATAAAATAACTATTAATATAATTTTATTTTATTAATCTTTTATTGTTTTATTATTATAAAACTAAATATTTATAATTTCAATTATTTAAATTAATATTTTATATAATTTAAGTAAATTTAATTTTTTGGTAAGTAATAATAGTTAATTAATTATACTATTATATATCATTCTATACTTATAAATATAAAGAGTACAGACAAACTGTTTTTAATAAAAAATTATGAAACATAGTAAAATATATAATAACTTTAATATGTAATAATGAAAATTATATTGAAAAAAATACTGCAAAAATTCAATCATTGACAAACCAAGGCTTCTACTTGTTATGCGTTATGGATAAACAGACTCGTTACATTTATCAAATTATGCAAGTAACGATTCTGTTTGTCGATTTGTTTTCTTTAAAATAAAAGAATGAATTAAACAACTTTAAATTGTGTTATATATCTTTTGGTTAGCCCACAGTATGTAAAACTCTTTATTATCAACAAAATAATATTTACAACTGTTCGATGTTTAAAAAATTAATTCCAAAAAGTAATAATATTTGAGTAATTTCATTTAACTATGAAAAAAGGAAGTATAGTTTATAACAAATTTAATTTTAATAAATTTAATTATTATTTCATCCTTATTAAACAATTTCTAATATTTTATAATATTATCAATTATAATTAATAGTTTTATTTTATATAGTATAAATATTATATTAATAAGCCATTGATTTGTATACTATACATTTTAATATTTTATAGTTTTGTTGTTAACTGTCGTTTTAAGTAAAAAAACGACCGTGGCAAAAAGTTACCATCTGTAAAGAAAAAGTTTTGGAGATCGTAAAAACAAACAATACTATGAATTTTACTAAAACTACTTTATTTTTGACATAAAAACAAAGAAAATATACCCCTTTTCATTTTAAAATGCATTTTTGGGACAAGTTCCAAATTTTTCCCTGTTCCGTGATAGACCCTGATTCAAATACTCTTTTAATTTTTCGGGAATTGACTACTTATTTTTTAATATTATAAATATATTAAAACAAACTACATTATTAAATTATCAAAATAATCAATTATTTACCAAGTGCAAAATAATTAAAAATAAAAACAAAGCTTTTACGCGTTTAAATGATTTGTCGTTGATTCACAACGTCTTATTAAACCGTTGTTGTTTTGTTTTATTTTCCAAATCATTAAACAGACTTGTTAACACCACTTATTAAACTCAATGTGTTTCACCAAAACCAGTCAATTACATTGCAATTTGTAGTAAGAACAGTAAATGAAAAATATCAAATTTTAAAACCATGTAATTTTGAGTTAAAAATCATTCTTCCACCCATGTGTGGATAGCATGTTATGGTGTTGTTGAGTATTTATAACACGTACTTTGTTGAACTTTTTCATTTGTTAAATAATTAAAATGGTATCTATTAGTTTTCAAACTAAAAATCAAACTAATAATATGGAACTGATTAAAAAATTATATTTTTGACAGTGGGAAAAAGCGTTATTGCTTTGCTTGGAAATATTTTTGCCCTTAGTGGACTCGCAGAACGAGAATGTAAAAAAACTATGTTGCGATGTATTTTTGAGGGTCGCGGTGAAATTGGACGGCGAATTCATCACACAAATAACACAAAAGTCGATTCAAAAATTCGAAGAGAAAAAAGGATGAACCAAACACAAATTTGTTTAACTCCTTGTTGTACTTTTGTATGTTGTTTCGCAAAAAATAGCGTTCTTTGTGAGAGATATTTTTTACGTTATCATGACAAATTTTGCATTTTTATAGCGACTTTTGATAAGAAAAAGATTTAGACGATGGCGTATATGTGTTAGAAATTGAAGAAAACAACGACGAGTTAACGTCAATTTTTAAAGCGACTGTTTCTGGTTTGTTTATAATGAGACATTGTTTATATGTGATACTACTTAACGATAATTATGTCTTTTTAGTATTTTAACTCCAATTGTGAATTGCTAATAAATGAGACTTAGAATCAAAAAGCAATATACAATTACATTACTCAAATATTTGTTTGTTTATCGGGTTTTTTCGTGTGTATTACAATACACATTTTCCCTCTTTTTTGAATAAGTGAAAGTATATTTAAAAAGTAAATTTTTTGAAAACATTTTTAAAGCAAAAACATTTATAAAAGAAAAAACGGGGTTTAAGTTTTAAATTAAAGACAGTTACCAAAAAAACAAAAAAAATTATTTAATAATATAAAAACAGCCAACATACATATCATTATTATGCACATCGAATTTCATATTTTGTGTTGACTAAAATCTTTACAATTTACCATTAGCAACAAGTTTTATTGTTTAAGTTGACGATGTTTTGAAAACATTATAAGATTATTAACAATTATTATTATATTAGGTCATTTTTAATGATCATCTCATAGTATGAAATTGAAGATGGCATACGATACAACTTGATACTGTGCACAGTTGAGTGGTGGTCAAGTTTGTAGAAATATATTGGGTGTCAACTGTTATGTTGTTTGTGTGAGACTAGTTGAAACTTCTCCAAATACTAATTACTTGAATACTTGTTATTAGTATTGTAAAACAATTTTCTACGTAATTAAGAAGGCTAAATAATGATGTCGTTATACAAAAGTAGTGATAAAGTCTTAAACTATGACAATTGAGATTTAGAAGTGGGTGAGAAACACCGGCGTTTTCAATAACACGTTCTTTAAAAACATTAAAAACAACACCACGAAGAGTATATTTTAATAGCTAATGATGACCAAGGCATCTTCAAAATAAAGAACCCCAAATGAAATCTACATGGAGTTCATGGCGTCATAAATGCAAAACTTCCATTTATGAACAGCATCAACAATAAAACATTTAACGAAATTTAAGTTGTAGTATATGAATATGTGGTAAGACGAGACACTCATCATGTATACTAAATAACTTGGGTTGTCGTATTAGACTTTTCCAGTGTAGAAACAGCAAGTCACTAAAGAATTTTGATAAAACAATTAATAGTATTAGTTGACTATAAGTGGGCACAAACCGACTAACGCTGGTCGATACAATTCACCAACATCAACTAATATCTATGGAAATGGAAACGACAACTACTAGAGCGAATATGAAAGGTTATTTCAACAATGGTACTTTGACCTGTTATTGAGCCACACTAACTAAGTGTTGTCTGTAGTAAAAAGAGTCTTTAATAACAATTTGGCACTTGCAGGGAAAATCAATAAAGTATATTGGTTGTAGACTGACAACAGTCACGCAGCCGAGATGACATCAGGCTATTACAACTTATATAAAATGGCAACAAAACATCGTTGAAGACTTTCAAAAAGAACAAGATCAAATTATACTACACTTGATTTAAGATATCAAGAATAAACTACCGATGTAACAATCAGCCGGCATATTTTCGACCAATCATTAAACGCAGTATATTCAGTTGTTATTGGGAAGTGTGATGAAAATGGGTTTGAGATGTGTGGTCGATGCAATACAATTATATGTAAATGAATTAACAAAACCAAACAGTTCCAATGTTATCATGTACATCAGAGACAAGCTTCGATTACACAAAAAAAAACATTTATATTGTACGAGTCTATGAATATAAAAAAGCTGAAAATGTTGTTATAACTTCAAAAAATTTTGTGTTGGAAATATAGTTTAAGATTTAATATAAATATTAAAACAAACATAAATTTTTTATTTAAATTATTAACTATTAAAGCACGAGTGATTCTTTCTCTATGGTACTTTTTGGCGAAAAGATAATTAAAAATGAATAGAATTATATTAATAAAATAACATTTAAAATAAGGGTTTCAAGCTGGGTTTGTTTTAAGTGTAATTTACCACAAACTCAAAATAACAATTAAATGCCTAAACCACGACTCTCAAAAGAAAAAAGAGTATCAAGAAGATGTATTTCTTTTGGTAATACTATAGAGTTCCAGCCTTTTATTTTAGATGAACCTGATGGGTTTGTTAAAGGCTTGAATTATTGTGTTTTTTGTTCGAAATTTCCGCGAGATGCTCTTAAAGAGCATTACAAAAATCATCTTCACAAAGATGTGAACATCTTTTGTGCAATAAAGGATAGGCTTTAAACCGTCGCATTTAACTACTTTAATATACTAAATTATTTATCGCTCAACTCGTTAATAAACTCAAATTATGAGAAAATCAAAAACGCGTCAAAGTTCCAAATGATGAGAGTCAAAGATGCATTGATCACAACTGGAGTAAACACATCAAATATAAATAAAATGATTGAAGATGTTAATATTGCTTTTCAAGCAATATCCGTTGAATTAACAAGTCAACAACCTGCAATAAATGAGCCACACTTTGTTTCGCAACAAATCTGTGAACAAAATCCAAACATCATGATAAACACTTACAACGATGATGGTATCAATGAGGAGCACAACGATTCATCTTATCCAGATAGAACAGCACATCCCAACACTGCTACACCCCCTATGATAGACACAACACAAACACCAATAGGTGTTGTTCATCAAACACCATTTAATCTTGAAACAAACTTAGATAAGAAACAGACCACTTTGGGGGTTTAGGAAAACTGGCCACAGTATTCAATAAAAGTTCAATAACAATTCAACGTTTTATTCAAAAACAAAACCAATATAAAATTATATTTGTATTATTTTTTGGCTCTTTTTAGTTCCTTGAATAATTGCTTTTTCTTAATGGTCTGGATCCTTCTCTTATTTTCTTTTTGTGGATAGGTTTTGTTTTTTCAGTTGTTGAAGTACATTCATCTTCGTTTATAACATATTTTACTGCGCTTTTTTCTTCGAAATCTATTTCACAACTTTTCCAAAT